TGTGTTTTAGATAAATGTTATTACAAGAGACTAAAAAGTTAAAAAATAATTTTAAAGTAAAAAAGTTACAGTAAACTAAGGTAAATTTATTATTGAAGAAAGAACATATTTTTAATAAACTTAGTGTAGCCTAAGTGTTTATATAAAGTCTGCAATAGTGCACAGTAATGTCCTGGGCCTTCACACTCACTCACCCACCCACCCAGAGCACCTTGCAGTCCTCAGCTCCATTCATGGTAAGGGCCTATACAGGTGAACCACTGTTAATCTTTTACACATTCTTACTGAACCTTTTCTGTTCAGGTATGTTTAAAACCACAAACACTTACCACTGTGTTACAGCTGCCTGTGGTATTCAGTATAACGTGTTGTACAGGCTTGTAGCCGAGGAGCAACAGGCTATGCCGCGGAGCCTAGGTGTGTAGCATCTGTGTGAGTGCACTCTATGGTGTTCACAAAACTAGGAAACCGCCTAATGACACATTTTTCAGAACGTATCCCAATAGTTAATGACTGTGCTTTAAAAAACACACTGGGGCCCTGGCTGGTGTGGCTCAGTTGGTTGGAGACTCATTCCATACAACAAAAGGCCACAGTTTTGATTCCCGGTCAGGGCACACACCCATGTTGTGGATTCGATCCCTGGTCATAGCGCATACAGGAGGCAACCGATCCATCAATATTTCTCTCTCACGTCTATGTTCCTCTCTCTCTCTCCTTTCTGCTCTTTCTAAAATCAATAAAAGCTTATCTTTGGGTGAAGATTAAAAAAACAAACAAACCCAAACTGGGACTGATCCAGCCACACCCAGATTTAAAGCCCTAGTAAACTTTCTGCAGAGAACATATATCTTCTAAATAGCTCAGTGTTAGTGTTTGCTGAGAGCTACACCTGGGGAGTTTCAAGTTTCCACTATCGTAGTATTTTCTTAACCTTTCATTTCCTTATGTTTCCTTCTAAGACAGTAACTGGCGAGCGCTCGAGATCAAATTAAGACGGAGGAAGCCCACTGCATGAGTCGGGAGCAGGCCAGGCATGGTATTAACAGCAGGGCTGCGAGGGTGCCAAGGTGCGGGAGAAACTCAAACCAGGTGCAAGTAAGGCGGAAACTGGAGGCGTCACAGAGAATGCCAGGGCTTTCTCTTGGCATCAGATGCCACTACGTGATGGGCCCCGGCTGGCTAGCTGGGAACCAGATTTTCTAAGGAAGCACGGCCCTATTAACATTCCAATGGGAACTCAAGAGCTTACTAACTCTACACGGTCTTTCTTATATCTTTCCCTTTACTGACTTTATTTCTTGGCCTAACTATTACAGAATTATACCTCCAAGCAGTATCTTACTCACTGTTTCTCTAGTCCTTTCTATAAAATATTGCCCCCACCCCATCCACCCAGGTACAGGACACTTATATCCATCCCTTCGATCTTCTCAGAGCTAGGCAGACACTCCTCAGATCCAACCCACCACCATCCGGCACTCTGCATATCCTCAGTCAGGCACAGCGACAGGTGGTGGTGTGGCAGTGATGGGGAAGACAAAGATAGATGTCACGTTTCTTACCCTTAAGAAACCCAAACACTAAGGCGGTAGGGCAGAGAAGATTATTCACTTAGCAGGTTATTATAATTCAATGGTGGCAGCTGCGGCACTGGGTATAAGAGAAGCCACAGTTGGAGTACCAACCATCTAGGAGGTGGGTTATCGAGATGGCTTCCGGAGGAGGTGAAATCCAGGGTGGGTTATACAGGATGGATGGGAGTTAGACAGAGACGGTAGGAAGGGTATCCAAGAGAGGACATCATAAAAAGCCACCAAAAAGAAAAAAAAGGCAGGTGAAAATTACAGAAGTGTGTAGAGCCAAGGAGTTGGAACATAAAGTCTGAAGCATCAGGTAAAAAGAAAGGAGGGTAGAGAGATGGGGTGAGGAAGTGGGAGGGAGTCTGGTCCCGGAGGTCATGCCACAGGTCATGTCACACTAAGAGCTTCAACCTGACCCTCAAGACAATGAGGAGCCACCGCAAAGCTTTAAAGAAAGGAACAACTGGTGACTGCCAGCCTGCCTGAGAGTTCACCACTGCTGGACTCTGGGAAGCAAAGGTCCCTGGTGCCTTTTCCCACAACATTCCTAGAATCTAGACTGAAGAATCTTTCGAAATACGAAAAAAGTTGAATTTTTAAAATCAACTCCCTAAATGTCTACATAAGATCTATTTAAATAAAAACCACATCTTGTGGTATTTTGTTTCTCACTTATAGACAACAGAGCATTTAAAAAAGAACCATTTTTCTTTTTCTGTGTATCTCTGTGGTGGACTTTTAAAAAGTATGTATAAGTATGTGTATTGTTTTCCACACATATTTAATTCGTTTTATTATCTGTAAACTTAATAAAGCATCTCCGGAAGGGTATATAAGAAAGCTATATTAGACACTGATGGAGTGCAAAATTTAAAAATTTCAAACCTGGTAAATTTATTTCCTGGTGGTGGTGTTTTTTAAGCTAACTTCTAAAATTGTTTTAAAAATAGGGACAGATAGCCCTAGCTGGCTAGCTCAGTTGGTTAAAGCGTCGTTCAGATACACCAAAGTTTTGGATTCGATCTCCGGTCAAAACACATACAAGAATCAACCAATGAATGCATAAATAAGTGGAACAACAAATTGATGTTTTTTCTCTCCCTCCCTCTCTCTCTCTAAAATTAATCAATAAAAAAAAAATAGAATAGATATAAGGACAGATATTCAGGGGGTAAAAAGCATTTTTTGAGAGATTGGAGTAGGGGGAAATTTGCTCAATATACTAAAATTATACTGAAATTAGCCCATTATACTAAACAGACACTAAATTTAATGCTCAACCACTCAAATCTTGAAACTGAAATTCCATGAGTCATGTCTGTCTGCTCAAAGAGGTACACTCAGTACACAGAATAGTGCTTGGTACCACAGAAGGCTAAATACGGATTTGCTGATTGCCCAAAATATAAATGTCAAAATAGTCTATTATTTTTTGAAGACTTCTTTTCTATACAGTGTGAAGACAAATCCTTAACGCACTTCACGAGCCGGGACTCAGGAAGCTGGCACAGAAGCCAGTGTGGGGAGTGGTGATCATTTCCAGCAAGGCCAGCCCTCCGTGACTCAAACTAGCACATTGGCCCACTCAGCCTCAGCATGCTGCCTTTCAACACACACACACCCACTCACCCCCCCCC